GTATTCCAACTCCAATGTGAACGTCCGTAACTCGGAAATCTTCCAACGTCCTTTGACAAAGTGACAGTTAAAAAAGATTGATGGTAAGGTGTCCACCCTGCCTTTCCATAGGCTTGGCCTGTTTCCATGCCAGCATCCACCAACTCTTTGTAAATGTCGGGCAAATCATTGACCTTCGCTCCGTACATGCCTAGTCGCTGAGCACCGGTGATCTTCGTCCAAAGCCCATACTTCTTAGCTGTGGTTGCAAAGGCAATGAGGGTGTCAGGAGTGATGTCGCCTCCAGGGCAGCGAGGGATCACCGAATACGTTCCTGTCTTTTGGATGTTGGCCAGGAATCGGTCGTTGGTGTCCTGAATCTGATCTCGTCCCGCTTTCAAGGCATGATCATTCCATAGACTTGACAGAATGGACGCTATGACAGGCTTACACAGTTCACAGCCATCAGAGCAGTCAGGGTTTTTCCCAACAACTTCAAGAATTTCCTTGAAGGATTTCAGCTCTTTGACCTTAATGATATCGAAGAGCTCTTTCCTGGAGTAGGGGAAGTGAACACATATGCCAGAAGCACCTGCTTTGCCCAGCTTCTTGAGGGTGTGCGACAGGAGTTTTGGCACTTCACCCACGGGTGTGACACATCCACCGCAACCAGTTCCTGCTTTGCAAGCCTTCTTGATGAGTGGAATGGTGTAGGCTTCCTTGTCAATGATGGCTTGGCGAACCTGACTCTTAGACAACCCGATGCAGGTGCAGATGGTGCAATCATCTGTTAGGCCAGTGCCATCACCACCATCTGAAACTGCGTTGCTGCCTGGAGGTGGCAATTTGAAGGCCAAGGCTACAGGGTCATTGCCAGCAAGATCGTCCTTTTTGCTGAGCTGAAGCAGTTTGCCATAGTCCTTCGCATCTCCAACCAGAACGCCACCCATCAATTTCGAACCATCTGCGGAGAAGCACAGCCGGCGATATGTGTCGTTGAGGTCATCCTTGCTGTCAATGAATTTGATGCTTGGATCCTTCCCAGTATATTGGCCCTTGAACCAGAAGTCAGCACTGCGGCCAAAGGAAGCAACCTCAACACCAAGAAGCTTGAGTTTCGTGCTCAAGTCGCTGGCACGATACACAGATGATCCCGGCCGCAGCAGGTTCAGCACCAATGTTTCAGCTTGCTCAACACCAGGTGCCCACAAACCGTAGCACATGTTGCCACCGATGGCTGCGACTTCTCCAATGGCATAGATGCTTTCATCAGAGGATCGCAACTGAGCGTCCACTTCGACGCCGCCCCTTGCACCCATCTTCAGTCCGCACTGCCTCGCCAACTCGTCACGTGGGCGAACGCCACATGAAACAATCACAAGATCAGTGTCCAGGATGGTTGGGGACTCTGCCCCCTTTTCAACTAGCTCTATGCCTGTGACTTTCCCATCATCCAGCACCACGCGCTTGATTTGCACACCACAATGCACATGAACACCCAGATCGTTGATCTTCTTCATCAGGACCTGACCAGCAATCTCATTTAATTGGGTTGGCATCAGGTATGGTGCCATTTCCAGGACATGGCTTTCCATCTTCAGATCAAACACAGCCTTGGCAGCCTCCAGTCCCAGCAATCCACCACCGATGACCACTGCACGCTTGGCCCCTGACTTGGCCTTCCCAAGCAGTGCCTCAAGGTCTTCAATGGTGCGGTAGATGAAAACCCCTTCCGGCCTTGAGGCAGGATCATCCGGCCAGTTCACATTTTTTTTCTCTGGGATAGTCATTCCTGGCACAGGAGGAACAAAGCAGAAGGAACCAGTCGCCAAAACCAAAATGTCATAGCCAACCACTGTTTGAGTTTCAGCCCCTTTCTGGCTGGCATAGGACACCTTCTTGGCTTCTCTGTCAATAGACATTGCTCGGCCATAGAGAAGGTTCACTTTGAGTTCCTTCAACTCTTCCTCGGTGACATAGGATAGTTTCATCTTGTCATGTTTTTCGGCATCCCGGTCCTCAAAGTACTGTGTCAGCATGACTCGGTTGTATGCTGGGCGTGGCTCTTCGCAAAGGACTGAGATCTGACAGCCGCTGCTCTCGGCAGTCATCTTCTCAATAAAGGAGTGGCCGATGGGCCCATGGCCGATGACAAGGATAGACTTTGCCATGGCGCCAAGTCGTCCCTTCCGAGCGTTGACAACGCTTTTTTGCCAGACTTGATTGAAATGTCTGGCAAGTGAAACCTTTTCAACATGCAGTTTTTAGGAGATTGCATCTGGGAAGAAAATCACTCAAAAATTCAAAAATGCCCGCAGAACCAAACGTTCGCCCACACCTCAATTAAGCAAGGATATAAATCCTAAATCATCCACCCCTCTCAAGCAATACGTACAAGGGTCTTTATATAACTAAGGAAAGATATAAACCCGCCACACCCCTCAGCAATACGTGCGCGCAGAAGGGTCTTATGATGGTGATATTATGTCAAATAACACATTTTAGGAAGGATATAAATCAACCACACCCCTCAAACAACACGTACAAAGGTCTTTTAATATAACTGTCGAAGGATGGCCGTTTTGTGGGAGAAAACATAGGCTCCGGAACATTCTTGGCCATCCCAGAAATTTACGCCAAGAACCCTTCGCAAACTTTGTGGGGGTGCGTGGAAAGGAAGGGCCGTTTCGTGCGAGAAAACTTAGGTTCCGGGCAAACGTCCGGATCTGCGCGCGAAAATGGAGGATTCCTCGCAAAATCTCTGTGTTTCGGACCTTCAAGAGCTGAAATATTAAAGTTTTGGTTTTTGGGCCTTCAAGAGTTCAAAACATGAAGAAAGGGCAACTCTGCGTGGTTTATCTGGGCTCAGAAGTATCCATTTTGTGGCAAAACCATTGTATGGCACGTGCCTTCAAATGGAGAAGAGACTGGAAACAAGGGGGGGCCTGAGAACCCAAAAGCAAAACGACAGCAAACAAATTTGAGTAATACTGATAATTGGTTTATTTATTTTTCGCCTCTTGCCAGCTTCTTTTTAGAAGATGAACATTATGGACGCATTCACTGCAAATTTCATCTTTCCCCACCTGCCAGGTGAGGGTTGTTTGATTTTATCAGAGTTGTTCTCCTCGGCTAGCTGTCCTCCTCGTCCTCGTCCTCCTCCTCCTCCTCGTCCTCCGCCTTCTCCTCCTCCTCTGCCTCCTCCTCCAGTTTCTCCTCGATCATGTCTGCATCAACTTCCTCCTCAACTTCCGCCTTGCCAACTCTTCGCCAAGCTCTTTGCCAACTTCCCAGCTCAGTGTGCACCGCTGGACCTCAACCTGGGACCAAACCAGCTCAGTGTGCACCGCTGGACCTCAACCTGGGACCAAACCAGCTCAGTGTGCACCGCTGGACCTCAACCTGGGACCTTCCCAGCTCAGTGTGCACCGCTGGACCTCAACCTGGGACCTTCCCAGCTCAGTGTGCACTGCTGGACCTCAACGGCCAGATAGAATACCAGAAGATATGCCAGATAGAGTGTTAGAAGATATGTCAGATAGAATGCCATAAGATATGCCAGAACATATTGCAGAAGATATGCCAGGTAGAATGCCAGAAGATATGCCAGATAGAATGCCAGAAGATATGCTAGATAAAATGCCAGAAGATATGTCAGATAGAATGCCAGAAGATTTGCCAGTAACAAAACGTATAAATATCATGGTGGGGATAACTCGAAGTAAAGTAATTCAGCGCTGCGCGGAAACATTGAGTGACAGTGTGCAATAGCCAAGCAAGCTCATTTGAGCACGGTCATGCGACGGCGGCTGATTTCCAAATCAACCTCTCACCTCTCCTTTCCTTTCCCTTCCTTCCCTTCCTTTTCCGTCCTTTCCCTTCCTTTCCCTTCCTTTTCCGTCCTTTCCCTGCCTTTCCCTTTCTTTCCCTTTCTTTCCCTTCCTTTCCCTTCCTTTCCCTTCCCTTTTCCTTCCTTTCCCATCCTTTCCCTTCCTTTCCCTTCCTGTCCCTTCCTTTCCCTTCCTTTCCCTGTCTTTCCCGAATGCGTAGCAAGGGTTCCCGTTGCCCAACCGTCCGCAACCACTCGCAACCGTCCGCGCGATTGCTATATGGCCGTGCCTCTGGTAAGTTCTCCAAAAGGGGTAATTTTTGCGTTTCGCGTGGCAGGCGTGGCACTTTGTGACATTCAGACGTGTTTTGTAACGTGTCGAAAGTCATTGTGTGTGGCAGGCGCAATACTTTTGCGACGTTTTCAGAAGATGCGTTGCAGTTTTCGTGGCAGGCGCAGCACTTTGGACGTGTCCATCGTCATTTTGCGTGGCAGGCGTAGCACTTTAGACGCGTAGTGTTGCGTGTTTTTTACGAGGCGCATTGGCAGGGCTGCGTCAAGTGGCGACAAGGTGCAGATTCCGTGGCAGACGTGGCATTTTGTGAGATGTGCTGAAAATTGACGGAAGCCTCCCACGAAACATCGATTTTGAGGTAGCAAATTTAAAGGCTCGTACGAAAACTCGTGGGAAAATTTTGAAGCTACAAAGTGTGAAAATTGGAGGAAGTCTCGCACGAAAGGCTCGTTTTGATGCTCCCACATCTCTCGTCTCAAGTCTCTGGTTTGGACCCTTTGGGTTTCCCTAGAAGCAAAACTACCGCTGCGCGCCCAAACATGTTTTTGCGCGCGAAAGGGCTGAAAAGGTCTTTGCCCCTTGGGCTCAGGGGGTGGGGGGGTGGGCTACCTTGAGCCCAAAACTAAGGTAAACCCTGTTTAGGTCAAAACCTAGAGCGCGCTACACTAAGCTCCTACAGTTTGGACCCTTTGGGTTTCCCTAGAAGCAAAACTACCGCTGCGCGCCCAAACATGTTTTTGCGCGCGAAAGGGCTGAAAAGGTCTTTGCCCCTTGGGCTCATCCCCCTCCCGCCATTTCGGCACTTGCAAGGGCAACTGCCCGGGCGCGAAACGCGCCTCGGGCCTGTTGGCAGCGAGCCCGGGCGACACAGGGCCGCCGTGGCACAAAATTGGGTCTTCACGTCGGTGCTAGGTCAGTGTTCAACATAGATGCTGCCATTCCCCGGGAATATTCCCGGTCTTCCCACAAATAGGAATGGAATGCGTCGCTCGCCCAACGTCCAAACCTTCTCACAACAGATGCGTCTTTGAATGCCGTCCATAGCGCGCTTGCACCACCAAAACGTAATGAGTGCGAACCAATTGTTCCGCCCACACCACATTGGCAAGCGGCTTCTCTCAGCAGCATCTGAATCGCTTCCCTTTGGATTCCCTCTCCCGAGGGAGTTCTAAAGAGTGGCTCCGTGGCTTCGCAGCCGCCCAGATATCTCTCCGGAAATTTCTGGAACAGCTGGACAACCGACTCTACTGGGCAGACTTGGTTTCCAGTCCGGTAGTGATTGCGATTTGTCTCCAAGTTGTAATTGGTCTTGCTGCCGACGAGCTTGACCCGAACTTCATCGGCCTCTGCCAGGTTGCTGATAGTGCACAGGTTACCATGGGAGTACAGCAGTACCTGGTGGCCCTTCAGGTGTCTCGAGAGAGGAAGGTAACCAAGGGGAAGGAATTCAGAGGCCCTCAACAGAAAGAAGAACCCAAGGCAGATCCCAGCCCACAGGAGCACAGACTCCGGGCTCGAAGACGAGCCACGGAGGCGATCATGCAGATAGTTGAGCATCCTGGGGGTCACTGGCGCCCTCCTTTCAGGAACCTTGTAACGCCTTCGTAGGCCTGCCAGTGCCATGGCAACTCTTCCTCGGCCTTCCAAGGGATCTTCCATGCCGAGCGAAAGGTGGACGCTGCGCACTGCGGCCAGCCGAAGCTTCAGCGTTCCCGGTGCGCGCCCTTCATTGCAGGCACAGTGCAGGAGAAAGTCGATGAGGAGTGTTTCTTCTGTCTTATTGCTTGAGGGGCCAGTGAGAATCCAACTGACTCCTCTACGAGCGCAAAAAAGCCTCCACCACTTAAGTTGAGATTCATAAGTCCGCCGGGTGGAGATGGCGAGGCGATCAAGAGCGACACGAATGGCTTCCTCGTGATAATCTTCTTTGCATTTCAAGCGTAGGCCCAGCGTGGGTCCAGTCGTCCCTTGCGCCGCCCTAGCAGCCTGAGGGCTACCCAGCCGCCTCGGCTTCTCGAGACTCTGTTTCTTACCCGTGGCTTGACTGGTGGGAGATCCGGCAGCCGCGAGGGACTCGTGGTAGGGTTCGAATCGGACCTTGCGGCCCCTAGGACCCCCCACACGGGTCTTTTCCTGACCTTCTTGTGGGTCCCCGCAAGGTTCACCCCAGTGCCAGCAGACCCCAGCCAGGTACAGACCCAGTGCCACCGCCAGCAAGAGCCAATGCGCGATGGCGTGATTCGTGTCCCTTTCAGCATCGTTGTTGCGCCCTGGGCCTCGTATCGAGCCACGAGACTGGGACGGTGCGGCAACTCTTGCACACTCTTGGCAAGGGGCGAATCGCACCACGTTCCTTCCTCGGGTATGCCCACACCGCGGTTTGTGCCAGCGGGCCCCGCTCCAGGTGGCTTCCACGCTCCCCTGGTAGTCATCGACTTCGGAGATGGTCACGCAGTCTTGGCATGCTTCAAGCCAAAGGGTAGAAGCATCCGTGCGGGGGCAACCTTCTTTGTGCCAGTTTGCTCTGCGGCGGTCAAGACCCCTTTGGGACGGGCGCAGGCTCCTTCGCCGAGGATTGTCCGGTGCCGGGCTCGAAGTCGAGCCTCGGCTACCGCGACGGTGGACCTCCGTGGCGCTACTGGTTGAGGCGTGCCTGCCAGCCGCAACTTCATGCCGGTGGGGGGCTCTGGGAAGGTTGTCCCTTGGCGAGAGAGCCAATGGGTCGGTCCTTGCGGGACTGGGGGCAAGGCTGTTTCGGCATGATCCCCAGGCAAGGCCTAAAAGAATTCCGGTGAGGAGAACGAGGCCGAGCAGAACTGTCCCCTCGGAAATTAAATTTGGGGGCAACCTAGCCCCAGCGAGGACCATAGCATGGTCGTTCTCTTGCCCATGGAAATGTGCGATCGCGTGGTTGGTATCACGCTCCGCATCATCATTGCGCGTGGGCGACAAGGCTCCCTCCGGCACAGCCCGAGCTTCCGCTTCCTTTGCAGCCCGGTTTCTCTTCTTCGTGGCTTTTCTTTGGCGGGAGTCCGGTGCCCTACGGTATTTGGGCGCCGCCCCCCTTCCTTGTTCCCTCAGATGTTCCCGAAACTCAGCTATTTCCCTCCGAGCCGCCTGCTGTCGTGCTTCTTCGGCTCCCTCGGGTGTTTCGATTGGTTCGTGCTTGGTGCTTCCTTCCGAAGGGGCGCCTCTCTGAAGTCCCTCCCTGTGAGCCTGGGCCCGCAAACGCGCCTTTTCTCGGCGGCGCGCCACCCAGACGCTGACTCCTGCTTCAATTTCCGAAGTGAGACGGTCCGAACTGAGGACCTTGGCGGTCTTGGAGGGTCGAGCTGGGTTGAATCGTTCAAGCTTTCTCATGTACTCGCCCTGGCTATCCAGAGTTTCCAGATACCGGGAGTCTTCTTCTTCACATTGGCGAACCCTGTGCGTCTCAGCTTCAAGGGCTTCCTTGATTCCTTCGGCGGCTTCCTTTCGCTGCTGGGTGAGGCGTTCCAGGTCTTCAACTAGAGCCGCTTTCTCGCCTCCCGACCCTTCCGCTTCCTTCAAGGCACTTTGGAGGTTCTCCCAGTTGGCAGTGTCGGCCTCAGCGAGGGCCTGGAGCAGTTTGACCTTTCCCGTGCCAAGCTTGAGACCCTGCGCCGGGACCAGTTTTCGCTCCTCCTGGGGTTGCCCGGGCTCTACTCTACCAACCGGCCGATACCTTGCGGGGAGCCCGATGGGCGAGTCCTCCTCTGAATCCTCTGCGGGCGGAGGTTTGACCCGTTCCAGCTGGGAAGGCCCTCGGGTTCCGCACCCTGCTCATGTTTGGGTTCGAGACGCCCTGGTTTGGGGCCTCCTTTGCCGTGTTCTGGGTCCTGATGCTCCTTCACCAGCGTGGGTTTCCAGCTCGATCCGGCAGAGGTGGTACCGGGCGCGAGGCGCGCCTCGGCAACTTCTTGCCTTTCTTCCCGCTCAATCAAGCCGGGGTTGAGCTTGATTTCCGCCTCGGCCGATCCTCGGTCGCCTTCTTTCATCACTGTTCGGGTCGCGGGTGCTGGGGGCTCTTCCGGGCCCGTGTCACTCTCTTCCGATAAGTTCCAATCTGCTTCGGAGAGCGTGACGACGGTCGGTTCCAAGGTTCGTGGGTTCACCTGGACCTCCTCTTCTCCCTCTTCCACCTTGAGCCCGGCAACAGCCGACGCCAAACCGGTCGCGGTCTGAGCAAGGCCCTCCTTTAGGTCCTGTTCCTGCTTAAGGCTGCCGGGCGGCCAGGCGGGGAGCCTTGAGCCAGAGCCTGCAGCTCCCGCGGCGCCTGTCTTGTAGAAGGGCACTGGCGACGCCTGCTCGGGTCGGGCTCGGGCACGAGTGCTTTCCGAAGCGAACCAAAAATCGTCAGTCGTCCATGCGACGACCTTTCCCAAGGCTTCAGGCGGGATGTCGGTATCGGCCAGCCAGACGTCGTTACCCGTCACTCTGAAAGAAACTCCGGCCTCCTGGGCTTTCCGCGTATCGACGGGCACTCTCGTCTCCAGGTCGGCCCTCCACTTGTTTGATGCCCGTTCCGGGTCAACCAAGTGAACCATTCTGCGGCTTGCTGACAGCCCACTTTGCACAATGCTGGCCGTGTGCTTGTGGTATGAGCCATGCACAAGCAGGGCAGGGACTTCGGAGGGTTCGACCAACACTCCTGGTCCGACGACCCCTGGTATGGTGTGCCCGGACCAGGCTGCCACACAGCTCCTTCCGGTGCTCTCATCTGTTCGCACCACGAAGCGCTGTTTCCAGTTGCCTTCCACTTCGGCCCGAACCGCCTCCTCAGTGAGGTACCTTTCCGGCCATCGGAGCTTCGCACGGAGGTACCCTCTCAGGTGGTCCATCGTGACCCATCCATCCTCCGTGATGTGGCACTCGGCACTTCCTGCTTCGTGTCTGAGGCAGGAGGCGAGGGCTTTCGAGAACTGGGTACTCCAGTCCTCTTCCTTTTTCTTACGGCGCTTGGTGCCTCCGGCCCTCCGCTCCACCTCCCAACCTCTGCTTTGGAGCCAGGCCATGAGCGCCGCTCGCGCCTTATCTTCCCACGGGAGCGAACAAATTCCGACTCTTTCAGAATCTGAGTTCCCGGGCTCGAAGCAAGCCTCGGGAGTTTCGTCCGCCTCCCGACTTTCAGCCTTCGCCTCAGCAGCGCTGGACTGTTCGGGCTCAAAGCAACTACCGCTGGCGCCCCGATCCGTCCCCAGAGCGCTCGCCCAACGGCCCGCTACCAGAGCCAGGCTGCGGGGGGTACCCATGAGCCTTTCCAAGGCAAGTTCAGTGGAGGGGGTGTCCTTGGGATGTTGTTCTGCTCTACCACCTAACAACCTAAATGCCTCCCCGGGCGTGATGGTGCGCGCCGCGGGGCCATTAGCACTGTACCCAAGCAACAAAAGAGAATCTTTATTGTCATTACCCCATGACCCATGATGTAATTGGGGGAGCGGTTTAAAAGGGTCCCAAACATGACGCCTACCTTCGGGGGTTTGCAGAGTCCCTCGAGGCTTTGGAGTAGCCTGACCCAGGTGCGGCATAGCGCTGTCCAGCTTCAGGCGACCAGTTTTCCAGGTGGCGTCTGGTACCTTCTTGTCTTCCAACAACCATTCAGTGGGGTAAGTGTGCAAGGGTGGCGTAGCGGGTTCCGCGTCGAGCGTAAGACAGGGTGCTGGAGGCAGGCGCTTTTCTGCGGGAACCGCCATCAGTATCCATCGCTTCCACCAGCACTGATCCTGGAGAGTGCGGCCGCTGACTTGGAAGACACGGGTATGCCATCCTGCATCCTCCAGAATTCTTTCGGCTGCTCTGGGGCCATGAGAGGTGATGGAATCGACCCAGACTCCTTCCGGCTCCCACCTCACAGCAAGCTCGGCGAAGCGAGCAGCCGTAGCCACTTCGCCTCTGCCGCCTGGGTGGAAAAGGCACACGTACCGCTCCGGGGTACATTCTCGGTGGCTTGCCTCTTCCAGGGTGTGTCTCTGGACGATAAGCCCCTTGGAGACAAGCTCGATTTCATAAGGGCCGGCCTCTCCAATCTCAGCGCACACCAGACCTTCTTTCAACGGAAACGGGTGCTTATTCGGACCCTCTGGATGCCTTCGGAGCCCTAACTGGAGGGCTGCAGCCTTATCTCCATGGTCCATTCCATCCCAAAGGAGGGCCCTTCGAGTCCAACCTTTGTCGAGAGTCCCCAAGAGCACCTCCGAGAACGGGAGCTTACGGAGCCCATGTTCCTCCAGAATGCTTTGTGCTTCGGCACGCGTGAGGCTGTCGGCAACCTGGTTGTGGTATGTCCGAACATAGCTCGCATGCAGCCTGAACCCTCCGACAGTTTCCAAGGCTGCGAGCAACTGCAGCAGGAACCTTGCCGCAGGGGGCCCAGCCTGCCTTTTCTCAAGCCAGGAGATAACGTTCTGGTTGTCCCGCGCGTAAATCACAATCTTTCCCCTCCAAGCAGTCCAGCGGGTGCAGGCGAGTGACACCACGGCGAGGAGCTCGGCGAGTGAGATCAGAAGACCATCTTCGGGATCGGTTCGATCCTCGGAGTACGGTCCCGACTGCTCCTCGTCAGTTCCCTCTTCCCCTCCGCAGAAGTAGCGGATCCGTTGCCAAACGAGGCTCGCGGGCTCGACAATTGCTACCTTTCCATGCCAGTCAACTGCCGCCACCCTTTCTGGAGTGGCATCTCCACAGGCCCAAACCACCTGGGATTGCATCCCTGGGAAGGAGAGCAGTTCCGAAATCGAGAGGGCCGCATTGAGCGGGTGAGTGAACCGTACCTCCCAAGAGGCGCTGACGTCCACCAACAAACGTTGAAGCTCAATAGCCTCCCAAAATCGGTTCCAAGTCTCTCTTTGTTGCTTCTCATCCCCTTTGGCTCGAGCCTGGCCCTGCGGGTCCGCAGGGCCAAGGAGGTCATTTGTACACCCCAAATACGGGCTCAGGCCCGGGAGCACCGCCAACCAAAACTGCTGGTTGCCTCTCAATTCTTGGATGAGGCGCAGCGAGACATGAGTGCATCCACTGTCAAAGTCAGGCAAGTGCAGGAGGTGATACGCCTTCTCCAGCTTGGCACTTGGCAGGCTTCGGGTGTTGGTTTGGGTATCGTAAATGAGCCCCCAAATAAGTTTGCGAGTTTCCAACCGTCCCTCAAGCCAATCCTTTCCTTCGTTGATGCTGGCATCCCCAAGAACAGCACGAGTCAGATGCTCCGTCAGTGCCACCGAGGTTTCCGGTCTCAGCCCAATCTCGGGTTCGATCAGCACCGTGTCGTCCATGAGGACGAAAGAATGGTATGGGACTGTATCCTCCCACCTGGAGTTTTCGGGCGCGAAGGCTTCGTGAGCCAGTTTAATGACCCAAGCATAGTGCATGTACTCTCCGGGCGCACCGCACCAGCCAAAAGTCAAAAACCCATAGACTATGGTGATGCCTTCCTGAGTATTGCTGTATTCAGCTGGAAGATCTGCAGCGAAAAGCTTGGAGTCCTCTAGCCGAACCGGGATCCACTTGAAGGCTTCGGATACGTCCTTTTTGCTGAACAGGATTCGGATCCTAGGGTACCGAAGCTTCCACCACAGTATTGCTCTGGCGACCTCCTGGTGTCGTGGTTGGAGCGCAGGCGGGTGCCGGGACTTGTGACAGTACCTGTTCACCGGCGTGGCGTCCCAGATGACCCTACCCTTATCGGAGACCGTGCGGTCTGGATTCATCTTGGGGACCCTGGCCATTGGGACTGACACAACCCCTTCCAAGCCCTTGCCGGTGTCGAAGCAGAGCAGGGAACGGCCTTTGCTGGCGTCGTCCCAGAGTTGCGCAGCAGCTTCGTCGAGGTGTTCCTTCAAGCTCGGGTGAGGCGCACTCTTGGTCCGAGTAGTTTCCTCTAAGTCAGCAGATGCCTCGACTCCCCAGATAGCCACATGCCTCGCCCTTTCTAAAACTGCCGGGTGAACCAGCCCCTCAAAGAAGTCACTGTGCAGACCAGACATGTGATCGCCTCGTTCCTGCACCCAGACCCTGCGGATAGCCCGGAGGGCTTCTTGCCATCCACCGGCTGCTGCCAGAAGAGCCGATCCTTTCTGAGCAGCAGACGCGAAATGTTCAGCGGAGAAAGCTCGGTTTCGGAAGAAATCCAGATATTCCTTTGTCGCCTGCTCGACTGCCGGGTCTAGCGGCCGCGCCAGGGGGCCTTTCAAGCCATGGAAGTCTTTGCCCAAGTTAGAGAACGAAGAGGCCCCTCCCCCCCCCGAGGAAGTGCAGCCCCCTTGAACCACAAAGGGGGCGCCCCCCGCCCGTCGCAAGCCGGCGCCGGGCGCGAAACACGCCTCAGCGCCGTCGAAGAGGACGGAGGCGAGGGGAGAGGAATGCGGCAACTCCGATGAGGGCGACCCAACGGCAATAGCCAGCGCCGAAGAGGTGGTTTTCAGGCACAAGTAGGCGGCCGGGGACGGTCCACAAAGCGCCGCAGTCATGGGGTCAACGGGCGAAGCTGGAAGGCGAACCCGGTGAAATGGCGAAAGAAGCTGGATGGCCGCGGGATCTTTCCACACGGGACTGGTCAGAGGGTGAACAAGAGTGAAGTGCCCGGGCAGGTTCAACTGATGCTGACCAAGCTCAAGCGTAAATTGCAGGTGCTGGTGGGCAGAAGACCCCAAGGCGCTGGTGGAAGACTCAGGCCCGCGGCCGAGGCCCGTGCGGGGCAGGAGGACCCACACGTGGCGAGGGCGCAAGAGAGTGAGAGCTGCGCGAAGAAGAGAGCGCACACGGCCATCGCAGAAGTTGCGGCTAGTGGCCGGACCGACAAAAAGGGCGGCGCCAACCGGCGCGTCCGGGGTGTTGTCCCAACCGAGAGCGTCAACGTATATACCCAAAAAATGAAGCGGTTGGCCTGGCTCAGGGAGTCGTTGGCCAGGGAAGAGCTCCTGCAGGTCCTCGCGGGCCCATTGTTCGGAGGGGGGTTCGTCGACTTCCCACCAAGATGCTCCTGCCCGGAAATCTAAGGCAGCCGGCTCAGCGGGAAAAGGGTACAAGCCGAACACCCCGGTGGTGACGCCGGTACGGTGCATAGGGTCATCTTGGCAGCGCGGGCATGGTTTCGGGGCACGGGCGCGATGACGCGCCCCGTGCTCGGCGGCCGCTTCCAGGTGGACTTCCCAGCCAGCAGCAGTGACAATCCGCACGTTGTCCGGGATAGAAGTCGTGACTTCCGGGAGGAGTAACCGCATGTGGCCCTGGTGAACCAGGAGCCAGATAAGGGACTTCGGGTCGGAACGACTGTGGGCCCCCTGAATGACTTCGCAAGAGGGGCGGTTCCAAGCGTCCATGCGGACAAGACAAAACGAGACGTCCGCGGCCTCTGCCAAGGGAAAGGCCGCCAGGCACCGGTAATCCTTGTCGTGGCCGAAGAAGAGGGCGTCGTGCACGAAGATGCGCAAGTCGTCTTCAGCTTGAGTGCAAACGTCAGGTTCCGGGCCCAAGTTGTCCGCGCAAGCCATCGCCAGGCGGAAAGTTTCCTCCTGTAAGGCTGCCGCTTTGAGGCGGACCTCGGAGAGAGCAGGCACACGATTCATGGTATGGGCCAGAAGGCCAGCGGCCACATGCAGGTAGAAGCACTGTCGGGGCTCCGTCTCTGGTTTGGGGCATTCCAGAGGTTGCAGCTCAGGATGCACGGGTGCGAGCTGGTCGCCGTAGTCATAGACCGCATGGTCACCGTCTCTCCAGCGAAAGGTCGCCCAAGAGTACCCGTCGAAGCCGTGTGCTGAGAATTGCCCCAATGCTCCGCGTCCCTCTCGCGACCCAACATGCGTGTCAGGGTGATTATGGAGATAGTCAGTAGCTTCTGAAGCAAGTTCTGCACTGCCTTCTCGAATAGCGTCCTCAAGGAATTCTTGAACATCGTGAGCGTTTGGAGCCCGGTCATTGACGGCTGTCAGCCGGTTGCGCAGATAGATGCCCAGGTGCTGGGGTAGATCTGGGAGAAGGCCGCAGCTGTCAATCTCGTCCATGCAGTGACGCTTGGCTTGGATCGTGGCAGAGTCTGGTGGCTCCCGGTAAGTGACCGTGCGCACAGCGGGGGGCGCGTGGTCGAGAGTCCAACTTGCAGCAGCTTCTCCTGTCATAAGTCGAGCAAGGGGGTCTTCCATATCAGTGGCGGCGAAATTGGCTAGCGCCGCTGGCGCTGGGGTCCAGCCAGCTCGGGTGTCTTCCCGGTATTGGGTCGAGGCATCCTGAGGAGGAGGACCCCCGGTCCGCTTAGCCATTTCTTTCGCCCTTTTTTGCCTTCCTGAATGTTGGACTCTAGCTTCTGGGCTTGCTCCTTTCGGATGGATTCGATGGCAGCGTCCACCTGGTCTCCTCTGAGTTTCGGACGGGCGGGATGCCCGCCTCGTCGCAAGAGTTGCATCTGCACGCTCCAATCGAGAGTATCCCAGCGTGGCGCGTTGCCATGGTGCGAATGCGGGCAATCTTTTCCCTTGTTGCATTTGCGGTGGGAAAAGTGATCCCAACACAGGTACTTCCCGTCTTTGTCTTTCGGGCGGTGATCCATGGAGCGGCCCGCCTCCTTGCTGGTCAAAGCATTTCCCAGGAGGGGGGCGGGTTCCTTGACGGCGGTGCCAGCGCCAGGGGCACTCCCTTTGCTTCCAGCCCGTGAGTTCCTAGGGTTGGGAGCAGCCGGTTGCGCTTTGTCTGGTCCGCCGATATCTTCAGCTCCAGCTCGTCCGCCAGTGAGTGGGGACGGTCTCTTAAGGGCCATTGACCAGCAAGCACGATCCAACATGCGCTGTTGGCGAGGAACAATATCCGTTTGGAAGTACTCTCCTGGTGCCTGAAGGTCGAAAGTTTGAGGCAGCCGGAGCCAGGGTTCGCCATTGTCCCCGGGGGAGGTGGCGAAAAACCGAAGACGGTCAAAGCTAGGGCTCTCGTCTTGCATTTCCCGCCTGGCTCTTCGATCGAGCGCTCTTAACTCTTCCGTGAAGCGAGCCCAGAGCTCCTCCCACACACTCATGACCGAGTGCAACGGCCACGCATGGGCATATTCTTCCCCAAACTTAAGGAGTTGTGCCGCAGCCTTCTCCCAACTGCCATAGTACTCTGCCCCCAGGATACATGCCATGGCCCAAGCTTGGCGTAGAGCATTTCGGTACCAATTGGACAGAGTAGTAGGGTTCCGCGCCCGTTTTTCCAGCTTGTTATCCCCAGGCGGGCTAAACAAGTCAAACTCCTCCTCCGAGGTCTGGGCAAAATCGGCCACAGTGAGGCAATAGTCAGGCGGATTACCTTTGCCCCCGAAACTGAGGGAAGCGGCCCCAAAGGCGATGCGGTTGGTAATGTTGACCGGGAAGCTGATTTCTCTCAACAAGGGCCGGTTCTGCGTCGCTACAGACTTTAGGGCGTGGTACAGCTCCTTTCCGACCGTGGCTTCCCCAAGGTGCACCGTCAGCGTGTCGCACCCTCTAGCCAGGTACAGCATCCTCTCCTCTGTTCTGCCGATCGAGGACAGCTTCCCTCGATCTTGGGCAGCTGGGTCTTCCTTCGCCGCCATAACTTTTGCGATTGTCTGCAGAACTTTTGAAGTTTCATCGAGGGCCGGAGGTCCCGGATCAGTGTAGGCTCCAGCATGAAAGGGTCGGAAGGCGTGTAAACCCTGCATCCCTACGGAACCTGCTGGACCGGGCGTTCCTGGGAAAGTTCCAACCGCTCCCGGGCTCGAAACAAGCCTCGGGCGCGGCAGGACAGAATCGATCTCGCTCTTGGGGCGAAACAAGCTCGCAGCGAGCTCACCGGAGGTGCGAGGACCCGGGAAATGGCTCGCAGGAGCCGAGGCCGGCCTTACCAGCCGTGGGGCTGGCGTGTCGGATTTCTCTTCTTCTGTAGGCCTCTCCAACGTGGCTTCCAGCATCCGAGTTACGGGGTCATATTCTGGTTCTTGACAGACGGCAGGGGGATGCGCAAGGCGGTTGAGTGCTCTCCAGGCGGGTGATTCCCGCGTTTCCAAGTCTTTGTGTTGTTGCACATAGGCCTTCGCCAGGGAAGTCAGCGAGTCCTGGAACCCAGGATGCTTCCACTTGACGTCCCCCGGGTTCCTGGCAGAGAGGACCTGATACGCTTCCTCTGCCTCTTTGCCCTGGAGCAGCTCGACCAGGAGCTCGGCTAGGTCTGCCTTGTCAGCCACCGCACCCTGCATCGCGTTGACTCCTGGTCTCTCTGGTTGACGCGCGGTCTCTGACCTTTGGTCGGTATCTACCCGGGGCGGTGAAGCTTCGCGTGCCCTAGGCGCGGCTTTGGCCCGGGGCTTCTCCTCTGTGGCTCCGTGCAACTTGCAAAAGTTGACCCCCTTCCTGGTCCCTGTGACTGGATGCAGGCACCCCTGCACCGCACATGCTCGACCCAGAAGCGAGCCCTGGTACATGGACCTGTGGTACTCACAGGCATGAAAGCAGGGATCGCCGCCTTCAGTGGTTGGTAATCCATCAAGACAGCTGTTGGATCGGTCAGCTTGTAGAAGCACAACGGGACAACCTCGGGCCACGTCTCTGCATGGTCCAGCAGCAAGAGGAACTACCTTGCCGTAGTTGTCTAGAGCGACCTGGTCCGCTTGACAGTGCAGCCCCGCGGGGCCTAGTTCCGCCTCGGATTCTGTCTCAGAATCTTCATGTTTTTGGCCCTGGTACCCTGCGCCGCGTTCCGGGCGAGAAACTCGCCTCGTACGGCAACACCGGCACCACAGACACCAGCACCAAGCTCGGCCGCATCTCGCCATGCTGCGGCCGAAACAGCGGCACCAAAGTATCCCGCAAAAGCTTGTGATCACCGCGCACCGTCCCCAGGGGCCCCTTCCTGCTAGTTCCTGCAGGTTGACCTCCCGGTCCTGCGGGACCGTTGCGCTGGCCCTAATATGCACCTGCGCAACTTCAGGGGCGGTGCAAGGGTCTTGAGCGCACAGGTGGACAGTGCAGTTGGCAGTCTCTATGTGGTGACGGAGGTATCGATGCGACGAGGCTCGAACCTCTTCACACTGGCAGAGGAATCCGTGCCGATTCGTTCTTCCCCTTATAGTCCCGTGACGAAGCCTCGCTACAGCAGCTCCGTCCGCAACTAAGAGGTCGAATGGCTTCTGATTCGGTCCTCTTCCCCGTACCTCGCGCTGGATGTACAAGGCGGACCATGGTGTTCCTGTACCCGGCCCTTTCCAGACGGGTATGAAAGGCCTCTGCCCCTGCAAGCGTGTCACATCGCTCCAAGTGCCTGTCCCTTGGCAGTATCGCCAGAGGGCCCTGGAGTGAATCCAAGTCGGATGAATGACCCACGTGTAGGTCCAGACAAGCAACTGGAGCAAGAAGACGAGGACCATCCCGGTAAGGAGCCAATAGCTCCATCGGGCTGCTAAGCCAATTGAGGCACAAAGGGTCCCACAGTAGCTTATCCCATTTTCTGCAACCTGTAACAGCATCCTTACCCACATTTTGATCCACCAGCTGTTTCCGACGTAATGGTAGGCGCCATCCCAGGCGACACTCCACCAGTCCCAAGTTCTGTTGCTTCCAAGCCCAGGGTCCGGGCGGGATGGCCCGCCTCGGTCCCTTGGGCCTGCTTCTGTTCGGTTTCTAAGATCGTCGGAGGAGTTGGTAGACTAGTCAGCAGTCCAAGCTGCAACAAGTTCCATCCATTTGCCGTGGCTGACGCTAGGAGGTAAACGACCCCTAGCGCGGCCCGAACCATGGCCCCCGGCTACCTTGAGCCCAAAACTAAGGTAAACCCTGTTTAGGTCAAAACCTAGAGCGCGCTACACTAAGCTCCTACAGTTTTCCTGTGGCGTCGCCGTGTCTATGGGGGAAGCTGCAAAATCTCTCCTTTTCGAAGGTTTCCAAGCAGGTTGTCATGCCGTTTTGCGTGGCAGGGGTGGCACTTTACACTACACTCCCCACTCTACACTCCACACTGCACATTCTACACTCCACCACACCCTACACTTTGCACACTCCTCACTCCACACTTTACACTTTACACTCTACACGCCACACTCCACACTCGACACTTTCCACTCCACACTCTACACTCCACACTTTACACTCCACACGCCTCACTCCACAATTTACACTTTACACTCCTCACACCACACTCTACAATTTACACTTTGCACTTTCCACTCCCCCTTCACACTCTACACTTTACACTCTACACTCCACAGTTTACACTTTGGACTCCACACTTTAAACTTTGCACTCCACACTTTACACTCCTACACACTCCACACTCTACACCCCACGCTCCACCACACTCCACACTCTACACCCCACACTCCACCACACTCCACACTCTACACCCCACACTCCACCACACTCCACACTTTACACTCCACACTCCACAAACTACACTTTCCACTCCACACTCCACACTTTACACTCCACACTCCTCACTCCACAATTTACACTTTACACTCCTCACTCCTCACTCCACACACACTTTGCACTTTGCACTCCTCACTCCACACTTTACACTCCACACTTTACTCTCCACACTCCGCACTCTACACTTTACGCTGTACACTTTACACTCTACACTCCACACTTTACATTTTACACTCCTCACTCCACTCCACACTCCGCACTCTACACTTTCCACTCCACACTTCACACTCTGCACTTTCCACTCCACACTCCACACTCTACACTTTACACTCCATACTCTTCACTTTACATTTTTCACTCCACACTTTACATTTTACACTCCTCACTCCACGCTTTACACCCCACACTCCACACTTCCCACTTTACACTCCACACTCCTCACTCTACACTTTACACTCCACACTTTACACTCCACACTCCTCACTTTATACTCCACACTCCAAACTCTACAGTTTCCACTCCACACTCTACACTTTACACTCCTCACTCCTCACTCCACACTTTATACTTTACACGCCACACTTTACAGTTTGCACTTTACACTCCTCACTCAACACTTTACACTCCACACTCCACACTTTACACTCCACACTCCACACTCTACACTTTACACTCTACACTTTACACTCTACACTCCACACTCCACACTTTACACTCCACGCTTTCCTCTCCACGCTTTGGACTCGACACTTTACACTCCACACTTTACACTCCACACTTTTACGCTCCACACTCCACAGTCTACACTTTACACTCCACACTCTACACTCCACACTCCACACCTTACCCACTGCACACTCCACACTTTACACTCCACACTCCTCACTCCACACTTTACACTCCACACTTCCCACTTTACACTCCACACACTACACTTTACACTCCACACTCCACACTTTACACTCCACACTGCAGACTGGTAACAGGGGAAGTATGTATATACAAGACTGTTCAAATAAACTATTGCAGAAAATTGTTCTGAGTGACTGCATATCCATTAACGTACGTGTGAGCATTCGGGTTCGTGGGCTGCATCTTGTTCTTCTCCCCGCCTATTTCCAGCCACTCCCTTGCACCCACGCCGTCCGCAGCCGTCCGCGCCATTCTCCGCACCCATTTCCCGTCCGCAGCCGTCCGCGCAGCCAAGCTCGCTCATCTCCAGCGGCTTCTTCTCCCCACCCATTTCCAGCCACTCCCTTGCACCCACGCCGTCCGCAGCCGTCCGCGCAATTCTCCCCACCCATTTTCCGCAGCCGTCCGCGCAGCCAAGCTCGCTCATCACCAGCGGCTTCTTCTCCCGATTTCCACCATTTCCAGCCACTCCCTTGCACCCACGCCGTCCGCAGCCGTCCGCGCAATTCTCCGCACCCATTTGCCATTTGCCGTCCGCAGCCGTCCGCGCAGCCAAGCTCGCTCATCACCAGCGGCTTCCCCCCTATACCCCCATTTCCAGCCACTCCCTTGCACCCACGCCGTCCGCAGCCGTCCGCGCAATTCTCCGCACCCATTTCCCGTCCGCAGCCGTCCGCACAGCCAAGCTCGCCCATCACCAGCGCGATCCCCACCCATTTCCCGATTTCCCTTGCACCCACGCCGTCCGCAGCCGTCCGCGCAATTCTCCCCATCCATTTGCCGTCCGCAGCCGTCCGCGCAGCCAAGCTCGCTCATCACCAGCGGCTTCTTCTCCCCACCCATTTCCAGCCACTCCCTTGCACCCACGCCGTCCGCAGCGATCCGCGCAGTTCTCCGCACCCATTTGCCGTCCGCAGCCGTCCGCGCAGCCAAGCTCGCTCATCACCAGCGGCTTCTTCTCCCCAATCATTTCCAGCCACCCTTGCACCCACGCCGTCCGCAGCCGTCCGCGCAATTCTCCACACCCATTTGCCGTCCGCAGCCGCCGCGCAGCCAAGCTCGCTCATCACCAGCGGCTTCTTCTCCCCACCCATTTCCAGCCACCCCGTTGCACCCACGCCGTCCGCAGCCGTCCGCGCAATTCTCCGCACCCATTTCCCGTCCGCAGCCGTCCGCGCAGCCAAGCTCGCTGATCTCCAGCGGCTTCTTCTCCCACACCCATTTCCAGCCACTCCCTGGCACCCACGCCGTCCGCAGCCGTCCGCGCAATTCTCCCAACCCATTTCCCGTCCGCAGCCGTCCGCGCAGCCAAGCTCGCCCATCCCCAGCGGCTTCTTCTCCCGACCCTCCCTGCACCCACGCCGTCCGCAGCCGTCCGCGCAAGTCTTCCCATCCATTTGCCGTCCGCAGCTGTCCGCGCAGCCAAGCTCGCTCATCACCAGCGGCTTCTTCTCCACCCATTTCCAGCCACTCCCTCGCACCCACGCCGTCCGCAGCCATCCGCGCAGCCAAGCTCGCTGATCTCCAGCGGCTTCTTCTCCCCACCCATTTCCAGCCACTCCGTTGCACCCACGCCGTCCGCAACCGTCACCAGCGAGCTTCTTCTCCCCACCCATTTCCAGCCACTCCCTTGCACCCACGCCGTCCGCAGCCGTCCGCTCCATTCCTTTCCCTTCCTTTCCCATCCTTTTCCGTTCCTTTCCCATCCTTTCCCTTCCTTTCCCTTCCTTTCCCATCCTTTCCCTTCCTTTCCCTTCCTTTCCCTTCCTTTCCCTTCCTTTCCCTTCCCTTTTCCTTCCTTCCTTCCATTCCATTCCGTTCCAATCATTTCCTTCCTTGTCCACTTAATGTCCTTACTTCCATTCATGTCACTGCAGACTGTCCTATCCCAAAACATTTACAGACATCCGTTGCACCCACGCCGTCGCAGCCATCCGTTGCAGTTTCTCCGAACCCATTTGCCGTCCGCAGCGTCCGCGCAGCCAGGTCGCCTCATCACCAGCGGCTTTCTTCTCCCCCCCCCCCATTCCAGCCACCCCCTTGCACCCACGCCGTCCGCAGACGTCCGCAAGTTATCCGCACCCATTTGCCGGACGCAGCCGTCCGCGCCAGCCAGGCACTCATAACAAGCGGCTTCTTCTCCCCACCCATTCCAGCCACTCCGTTGCACCCACGCCGTCCGCAGCCGTCCAAGCAGTTCTCCGCACCCATTTGCCGTCCGCAGCCGTCCGCGGAAGCCAAGGTCGTCATCACCAGCGGCCCCTTCTCCCCACCCATTTCCAGCCACCCCCTTGCACCCACGCCGTCCGCAGCCGTCCGCGCAATTCTCCGCACCCATTTGCTGTCCGCAGCCGTCCGCGCAGCCAAGGTCGCTCATCACCAGCGGCTTCTTCTCCCCACCCATTTCCAGCCACTCCGTTTCACCCACGCCGTCCGCAGCCATCCGCGCAGTTCTCCGCACCCATTTGCCGTCCGCAGGCGTCCGCGCAGCCAAGGTCGCTCATCACCAGCGGCTTCTTCTCCCCACCCATTTCCAGCCACCCCCTTGCACCCACGCCGTCCGCAGCCGTCCGCGCAGTTCTCCGCACCCATTTCCCGTCCGTCGCTCATCACCAGCGGCTTCTTCTCCCCACCCACTTCCAGCCACTCCGTTGCACCCACGCCGTCCGCAGCCGTCCACGCAGTTCTCCGCACCCATTTGCCGTCCGCAGCCGTCCGCGTAGCCAAGGTCGCTCATCACCAACGGCTTCTTCTCCCCACCCATTTCCAGCCACTCCCTTGCACCCACGCCGTCCGCAGCCGTCCGCGCAGTTCTCCGCACCCATTTGCGTCCGCAGCCGTCCGCGCAGCCACGCTCGCTCATCACCAGCGGCTTCTTCTCCCCCACCCATTTCCAGCCACTCCGTTGCACCCACGCCGTCCGCAGCCGTCCACGCAGTTCTCCGCACCCATTTGCCGTCTGCAGCCGTCCGCGCAGCCAAGGGCGCTCATCACCAGCGGCTTCTTCTCCCCACCCATTTCCAGCCACCCCCTTGCACCCACGCCGTCCGCAGCCGTCCGCGCAGTTCTCCGAACCCATTTGCCGTCCGCAGCCGTCCGCGCAGCCAAGGTCGCTCATCACCAGCGGCTTCTTCTCCCCACCCATTTCCAGCCACTCCGTTGCACCCACGCAGCCGTCCACGCAGTTCTCCGCACCCATTTGCCGTCCGCAGCCGTCCGCGCAGCCAAGGTCGC